GCGGAGCCAGTTACTCCAGTAGCCCGTGTGCCAATTGCTCCAGTTGCCAGTGTGCCAGTTGCTCCAGTTGCCCGTGTGCCAGTTGCTCCAGTTGCGCCGTGTGCCAGCAGCTTCAGCTGCCGCCCACTACCTCCTCTCCTCTCATAGTCCCTCCTCCTCCACACTAGCCATCTGCGATAGCCTCTAGCTTTGCTCATAATTGTGAACTTTAAACTATTGCTTCTTGAACTTGTGCTCAGAATGTGTGGTGACATTGTGATCCACCCTGAGCATGTACTGCTTTGCTTGCTCTGCTGATTACACCCCACTTTGGCTATGGGGGTGTGTCAGAATATTATGCTCTAGCCTGTAGTGGGGTGCTCTATAGCGAGTACAACCCTTCTAGGGTTTGCTATTTGTATCCTCATTCTTGCTAGTGCAAACACTCTTCTTTTGCCTATTCTCTCTTGCCTAGCTAGCTAAACCCTAGCCATGGCTCCTTCGTTCTAACTACTATTTTGACAGGGGAGCACATGGGGTCCATGCCAGCTCAAACGGGGACCACCTCGCGTCACTCCGAGCTGGCGGGTCACGTTTCGGGCGAGCGGGGTGGCTGGCTCCCGCCCCTCGCGTGCCCCGCCACTCGACTCCGGGAAAACGAAAATCCCTCTGACGAAAACCCGTAGGGGCGAACGGGGTTTCGCGGAGGGACTCGGGCGACGTCTTCCCAACCTTAATGAGATCGTTACCGTCGAATCGGCATGTCGCGAGTCTTCTGTTGACGGAAACCGCGTAGCAGAGTATCGTGTTGCGAGTATCACTTCGACTTCAACGCTCTTCGTTTTTTCTACGGATCAGGCGGCCCTAGCTGCATGAGGTTCCCTCCTCGCAGAATCAGTTACACCCAGCTTAGATCCGTGTAAAAAAACATCTGGCTTCTTCCCCATCGGGCTCTTACACCTCTCGCTTTTCCCGTCCCCTGCCTACCTACATCCGAAAAATCACCACCCCAAAATTCTACGCAGTCCATCCGGGCCCTGGTGGGTTGGTTTTCACTAGGTCCCCCGTTCCCACCAGAGCCGCACGCGGATGCAAGGGCTGTCGCGACCCCCAGCTGGGAGCTGCACGCAAGAGGGAGTGCCCCGCCCGCATGCAGGTCCCTAGCGAGATCCGGGCGGCGGAGCAAGTTGGCGGGGTGGTCTTGCGCCGAGCCTGGGCCACGCCAGCGCCACGCAGTGTGGTCCCAGCCCCGGGCCCACCCCGTGCCCAGCCCTGGCTCGCGAAACCCCTCGCTCTCCAATCCGAGGGCGAGGGCCGAACCCCAGCGCGCCGAAACGGATCCGGCCAATCGGAGCCGTTTCCGATGGGCTTGTGCCCCGGGCAGGGGCACAGCGAAACAATTCGCACGCCTGGCCGCTCGTGCGAAGCGTCGCCAATGCGCGCCGGAACGAATCCGGCCAATCGGAAACGGATTCTTCTGGATCCCTGTTTCGCAAGCCCACCCCTCTTTGCGCGTGCGAAGGGAAGCCAGTGTTCGCCCACAAATCATCCACAATTCAGGAGACTGTTCACCCAACGAACTGTTGTTACATTTTTTTTATTACTCGCAAATCTTAAACGCGATTGAACGGTATATATAGTCCTTAACATGACTTTTCCCTTTGTATCAACCAACCCCCCTCACTTATTTCCGCGAATTAGAATCCCCCACACATTTTTTTTTTTTTAATTGACGCGTGGTGCATTTTGCCAAGTCAATTAAACGCGATTTACATTTTTTTTTCACGCGTGTACTGTATTATTCGTCTGTGTAAAAGGTGGTAGTTTCGGATTGTTACCCAGCTTTTTGGCGGACGCGTCGAGGAATACACCCCACCCGAGGTGGTAACCGTCGCCCCTTGCATGCAGTCCGCGGTCGGAGTGCTACATGGCGGGACGTGGTTCCACCTGCATGCGTGAACGGGAACGCACCCACCTCGGGATGTCTGAAGGGGCGCGCGGGTTCCTCCCCACCGCGCGCAGTGCCACCCCCTGCCTGTTGCTCGCGCTGCCCCCATCCAGGATGCGTCCCGTCCACTATTAGACCCTTGCAACAGGGTTTCACGTGCTCATTTTCCCGTTCTCACTTTGGTTCCCTTAATTTTGCCATCCTGCTAGTCCTCTCCTCCTACTTCTTGGTGCGAGCGCTTCTTCGAGCGGTAGTGTTGGTGGTCGCGTTCGCGTTCAGGTAGAGGGCCAAAACTCGTAGGGTATCTGTGTGGTTCGCGTGCACGCTTCACCTTGTTTGCTCGTGTTTTCCCCCCGCCATGGCCAGCCGCAAACTGAAGGCGCTGTTCAACAGTGGCGAGCAGGGCGCTACTTACACTACTACGATCTCGATCGCTGGCGCCACTGTGGAGCTGCCCCCCGAGCAGAGGAAGTGCTTCTCCGATGATAAGCACCCTTTCAGCGCGACCTCCTTCGACTTTCTTACCTGGTAAGACTTCCTTGGGATGGATTGCTTGTTTAGGACGCCTTGCTGGGTCGCATTGAGGCTTTGTGCGGCTTGTTTAGAACGTCCACATGCGGGAGATGTGTCAGAATATAATGCTTGTCTAGTCTGTAGTGGGGTACTCAATAGTGAGTATACCCTTTTAGGGCTTGCTATTTGTACCTCCCTTCTTTCCAGTCAAACCCCTCTTTTGCCTATTCTCTCTTGCCTAGCTGGCTAAACCCTAGCCATGGCTCCTTCATTCTAGCTACTATTTCTGACATGCTATCAGAGCAAGTACGCTCTTGGCCTGTGGGCCCACCTGCTTCCACTGCTATCTTGTCTGTCGTGCGCCCCGTGGCGTGCGACGTTTATTTTCGTCCCGCCACGTGCTCGGGGCGCATGGCGGTTTTCTGCCCACCGCGCGCTCGGGGCGCGCGGCGGTTTTCTGCCTCACGCGTCACCCCGAGGACCCGCGGGTCCCTCCCCGTCGATCGTCGTGTCACCCCGAGGACCCGCGAGTCCCTCCTCGTCGACCGTCGCACCGCCCCTGGAGAACCGCGCGTCCCCCCCGTCGACCGTCGCGTCGCCCCTGGGGACCCGCGCGCGCCCCCCGCGATCCCGTTGCATCGCCCTAGGGACCCGCGCGCGGCCCGCGCCATCCCGGCGCGCCACCCCGTGGGACCCATGCGCCGCTTCGTGGACCCACGTGTTGCCCTGCGGCCCCCCTCCCCGCACACCTGAGTTCGCTTACCGCACACCCGAGTTCGCTTCCCGCACGCTTGTGCACGCTTCGTGCACACCTGAGCTTGCTTACCGCACACTCAGGGTATGGGGTTGACGGGTATTGGGGGTGGCGGGTGTGTGAGCCGTCCCCTGCTCCTACTCCTCCTCCGTCTCCCACTGCTGCAGCTGCCGCTGAGGGGGGTGGGTATGTGGGAGCCGAGGGAGTGGTGCTAGGGGGGTGACATGGGAGTGGAGTTAGGGGTGAAGCAGTTAGGGTGTGTGTCAAGAGTGTGGGTCAGTTGGAGGAGGCTTTGTGGAGGTAGCTGTCGTGTTGCCTGCAGCGCCTGTAGTCTGTCGCCCTTGCTTCGGTAGCCAGTGAGCCTGTTGCACCAGTCGCCAGTGGGCCCGTTGCTCCTGCCGCTCGTCTTAGCCGTGGAGCCAGTCACTCCAGTAGTCCGTAGCCCTTGCTTTGGTAGCCACTAAGTCAACCGCTCCTGTGCCCGTGCCTCTGCAGCTTCAGTCGTTGCCTCCCATCTTCTCTCCTTCCACAGTTCCTCCTCCTCCTCATTTGCCCGCTGTGATAGCCTCTAGCTTTGCTTGCTTTTGTGAACCTGCTCTATGACTGCTTGCTATGCTGATTATACCACACTTTGACTTTGGGGGTGTGTCAGAATATAATGCTTGTCTAGTCTGTAGTGGGGTACTCAATAGTGAGTATACCCTTTTAGGGCTTGCTATTTGTACCTCCCTTCTTTCTAGTCAAACCCCTCTTTTGCCTATTCTCTCTTGCCTAGCTAGCTAAACCCTAGCCATGGCTCCTTCATTCTAGCTACTATTTCTGACAAGATTCGGTCTCGTGCACAGCGTTCGCGTTACAAATCGCCAGCAAAATTTCCGTCCGAGCCATCTTCAGACCCCTTGCTTCCCTTTGTGAGACCATTGATTCCCTTTGGGTTCGTATCGACATATATCGCGTCAACTGTTCCATGTACTGGCTTGCATAGTTACGCCCGCATAACATCCCGGCCGCGATGTTTTTGTGGCTGTATGTTCTTTACGATTCCCGTACAGCGTGGTAGTTCGGAAGTGCGTGTCCCCGTCGCTCCAGGAGGCGATACAAGCCGTGCCCTCCAATGTTGTCACGGACATCGTCGCGGGTGGTGAGGCCGCGCACATAGCGTTTGACCGTTTGCTTGGATGTAAGCTGGTCGCGTTCTGCATCTGGCCCGGGTGAGTACAGCGGGACTAGTTGTAGGCTGGTTGTGCTTTGCGTACGTGTTTGCCTATAAGTGCTGATGCGAGTCGTCATGTGTCATATTCTCATGTCAGGGAAATGAGTGACAAGAAGGCCTCAAACGCGGGCATGTTGCTGCTTTTGCGACTGGACCACCTAGGGCTTGACGCGATTTTACCCCGGAAAACTCGCTTTGTTTGCGTCTGTCACCCCACTGCCGCGGCCGAGCATCTTACCGCGATAGACAAGATTGTCAAGTAAGCCTGTGCCAGCGGTGCTATTCTTACCTTCGGTTGCGGCTACTATTCTTCCATGTCTGAGAGATATCATGTGAACTGTGCAGGTGGTTACACGGTCACGTTTGCATCTTCTACGGGAGCGATTCGGTCCTGTACGACCGTTCTGGGAAGCTGGGAGATCCGTCGCGCCTCGTGGACCTGGTGAGTATGTAAAATGTTCCCGTTTGTTTTGGTCGCGTTTGGTACGTCTTAGAGCCCTAACTCAACACGCCATCTTCACGGTTTCCTTTCAGGATATTTCTTCCTGGAAGGCCCCTTGCGGTCCACTCGCATGCGTGTACGCGTTGGACAGAGTTCTGAACAACCTTGACGCGGTTGTTGGACACGACCCTGCGCCTCGCATCGCCAAGCCAATTGCCAGGACGCTGACCACATTGCGGCAGGATGCGAAACGCGCCGCGGAGGAGCTCGCGTTCAGGTCCTGGTGCGGGATCGCGGACGGCCATGGGGGGGATGCTCACCTCAATGAACGTTTGAGATCGCACAAACTGCCGGCGGGATCGCATGTTTCGGGTCGCGATGCACTCGCACTCAATACAGTGCTTGCGCTTGCGAACGCAAGGGAGGGGGAGCAGGGGAAGCCGGACAAGGAGGAGGGCTCGAGCTCTGACCGCGACGAGGACGCCCCTGTGAACGCGACGCAGGGTCTAGGTGCTAAGAATGTGCAGGAGGAGGCCGACGAGGCAGAGGGACAGGGTCGCGGACAGGACGAAGGGGATGCTGCGGATGATGACCTGCGCGGTGATTTGGAGCTGGAGGGTTTAGAAGAACTGGAGGGGGAAGAGGACAACGAAGAGGATGAGGAAGAGGAGGAAGAGGTGGAGAAAATCGTGACCAACAATGCCGGGCGGGCGGCGAGCGCGGTCGCGGGTGCAGGGAAGAGTATTTGCAGTCTGCAGGCTATGATGTCCCCCCGTCACGGCAGCGCGACCCCGTCGACAGAGTATGCGGGCAAGAGTCCGGTTGCAGGCAAGCGTAAACACTCGGAGCTGGTGAAGATGGATCCTGCTAAGCTGGCCGCGGAGATCCTCCGCCTGGATGAGCAGGTGAAAAATCAGAAGCGCAAGCTGGACGAGATCGTGTCCGCAAAGCCCGGCACAGAACACGCGGTGGTGATCACGCAGAGCTACGAAGAGCTCGTGGCCACAGTGGAGAAGGCGCTGATTCACGTGCAGGATACGGAACGGGTGACACGTAGGGAAGCCAAGCTGGCCGAGAAGGACAGGGCGGAGAATCGCGACATGCGGGAGGTGTTGAAACGCGCGGCTGTCTGCTTGGAAGATTGCGCGGCTAGCATGAAGGGGGTGGTTGTGGACTCCATGGAGAACGCACAAAAGAAGCTGACGGACGAGGTTGTTACAATAGTAAGCACAGTGAGGAGCCATAGCTAGGGTTTAGCTAGCTAGGCAAGAGAGAAATGAACAAAGGAGAGGTTCACTAGCAGCAGTTGGGATACATATAGCAAACCCTAACTGGGTTGTACCCGCTATAGAGCACCCCACTACAGGCCAGATGATAACATTCTGACACACCCCCATAGCCAAAGTGGGGTGTAATCAGCACAACAAGCAGTCATAAATTAGTTCACAAGCCCAAGTAAAGCTAGAGGTAGTCATAGAGGGCATGTGAGGAGGAGGAGGGACTGTGAGAGGAGAGGAGATGGGAGGCGACGGCGGAAGCTGCAGACACACTGGAGCTGCTAGCTCAGTGGCTACCAAAGCAATGGCCCTGACTACAGGAGTAACTGGCTCCGCGGAGATTGTAGCCTCCTGACTGGAGCAACTAACCCACAGGCGACTGGCGACTACCGGAGATTGTAGCCTCCGGACTACTGGTGCTGCTGGCGACACGACTGCGACCTCCGCTCAACCTCCGCCAACTGCCACACGCCCCTAGCACACACCCCCTGCTGCACCCCTAGCTCCACTCCCACGTCACCCCCCTAGCACCACTCCTTCGGCTCCTACACACCCACCCCCCCCTGAGCGGTAGCTGCAGCAGTGGGAGACGGAGGAGCAGGAGGAGCAGGGGACGGCGCACACAATCGGCACCCCCACGACCGTCACCCCCACACTCCCCACCCCCAAACCCTAAAACAGGTGGCACGGGGTAGGAGCGCGGGGGACGGCGAGGGGGGCGGCGCGCGGCCCCCAGGGCGCCACCACGGGGCAGCAAGGGGGGTCGCGCACAGCTCCAGGGGTGGTGCGCGGCCCCCAGGGCGCCACCACGGGGCAGCGAGGGGCCGCGCGAGGCTCCAGGGGTGGCGTGCGGCCCCCAGGGCGCCACCACGGGGCAGCGAGGAGGCGCGTGAGGCTCCAGGGTTGGCGCGCGGTCCCCAGGGCGCCACCACGGAGCAGCAAGGGGCCGCGCGCGGCTACTCAGGGTGCCGCGACGTGAAGGGCGGGGCCCGCGCGTGCTCCCCAAGGCGCCGCGACGAGCAGGGCAGGGGCCGCGCGCGGGTCCCCAAGGTAGGAAACCGCCGCGCGCCTCGGGGCGCACGGCGGGCAGAAAACCGCCGCGCGCCCCGAGCGCACGACGAACAGAAAACCCTAAAAACAAAAATCGCGCACGGCAGGAAGAAGGAGTCGCACGCCACGGGGCGTGCAACAGACAGAGTAGCAGCGGAAGCAGCCGCCGTGCGCCCCGAGCGCACGACGAACAGAAAACCCTAAAAACAAAAATCGCGCACGGCAGGAAGAAGGAGTCGCACGCCACGGGGCGTGCAACAGACAGAGTAGCAGCGGAAGCAGCTAGGTGGGCCCACAGGCCAGGAGCATAAATGCTCTGAAATCATGTTACAATAGTAAGCACAGTGAGGAGCCATAGCTAGGGTTTAGCTAGTTAGGCAAGAGAGAAATGAACAAAGGAGAGGTTCACTAGCAGCAGTTGGGATACATATAGCAAACCCTAACCGGGTTGTACCCGCTATAAAGCACCCCACTACAGGCTAGATGATAACATTCTAACAGAGGTCGCCCGTAAGATCGACGGCGCGTCATCCAACATCGCGGGAACCGCCGAGAAAGCGATACACACAAGCGGCGTCACCAACGCTCTCAACATCGTCATCGCGATGCTTTCCAGGCGTGACGCACCGCGACCGGTCACAGATGGGACGCAGGGAAAGGTGTCTGACGAGGTTGCGGAGAAAGAGGCAGGGAAGAGGGTCGCGGAGAAAGATACGGTGAAGAGGGAGACAGGGAAGAAGGCCGCTGACAAGGAGACAGGGAAGAAGGCTGCGGACAAGGAGACAGGTAAGAGGGTCACGGACAAGGACAAAGGGAAGGGTGAGAGCAGCAGGGGAGGGAAGCGGCAGAAAGGTCCCGCGGCGACTAGCGTCAGCGATCTCCTTAAGATGGGAGGCGCGGTCGTGGTGCGTGCAGCGGCAACCACCAGGGTGGATGCGGCTGCGGGACTACCGCCTGCCCCCTCGGCGGTCGAAGCTGGTAAAGGCAAGGACAAGGTCGAGGACGCCCCGCCAAACACCACCCCCACTACCACTGCCAACACGACCGCGATACCGCCGCGGTCGCGGATGGACAGACTGGACCCAGCTCCATCGCCCCTGCATTCCCCCCATCTACAGATGTGAAGGCAAAGAATCAGGGCCGCGGTGGTTGTAAGCCGCCTCCGGCCGCGTTGAAGGCGGATCACGAGGACGACGATGACTCGGACGCGGACGATGAGGTTGAGCTGGTGCTGCAGAGGTTCATGGGGCCAAGCGACACCAGCGGCACTAGCGGCAAGCGCAAGGGCTGTGGTATCCGCCCTCCTCCCAGGGGTGGAGAGGGGATGGTGGGCGAACCGTGGCAAGGGGGGAGGCGTCGCTGGCTGGGACATCACTCACTCCAGGAGGTGCAGTACCTGGCCGCGATCGCGGTCATGTGTTACGACAAGAAGATTGACCCCGGCCTCAAGCTGACTGCGCAGCAGAAGAGTGAGTGGGCCGAGGACATCTCCGCGGCCGGGATGATGTGCACCGGCCTATTCGCCACCATGCACCTCCGCAACCTTTGCGGCAATGTTGACATGTACGGTCGTGTGTTCTGTTATTTGTGAACACGGGTTCACAGGATCGCGGTCACGTTCGCGACTAACCATGTCCCGTATTTTCCCCCTGCTTGCAGGTACCACCACATGTTCAAGGCCTACCGCGACTTCACCCGTCCTGGTTCCACCCTCGTTAATGCGGTCGCTTGGGTAGCCGCGGTGGGAAAGGAGGCTGCAGACGAGGAGCCCGATGTCACCGGGAACCTAGTGGGCCTGTTTGCTGGCGCGGTCGCGTGCGCCATAGCCATGGTGTGGGAGACCTGCAACGGTCTCAATCTTGAGGGGGTCACGGATGCTGGATACGTCGCGGCGTAGTGTGCCGGCACTCCAGAAGAGAAGGCCCGCAGTCACGTCTCAATTGTGACCGCGGTATTCAAGTGGGCCAGGAAGGAGAGTGCTCGCAAGCAAGCACCCGAGGTCACTCCGAAACAAAACACGGAGAAGATAGAGACCGCTGTGGTGAACCGCCTTGGTGCGCGACTTGGGGACCCCACATTGGTTGGTATTGGTCGCGCACGAGGCAGTAGATGTGCTGATGACCTGGTGCGACTGCAAGATCGCGGCCAAGGTGATGGAGACCAACGGTCTCTATCTTGTACTACCAGACAAGCGTCTGTCCGCGAAGAAGAGGTACGCGTGAATGGGGTGGTAGTGGTTGTGAACTGTGGGTTCTAGGGACACTTGTTTGTGTTGTTTGTGATAGTATAGGTAGCTTGCCCACCCTGCTTGAGATTTTCTCGCAGTGGTCATTCTGTCTATGCTGTGTGCTCCTTTGTCATTCAACTCTCTTGCTCGATCGCGACCGGCGTTTCACGTAATCCTCGGCACTCTTTGAACTGAGATTTCGCGAACAAGGTCAAATGCATGGTTGAGCCACCAATACTTGAGCGATACATGCTATCGGTTGAGCCAACAGTACTACACGCACTATTCGAACGCGTTACAAAGAGCAGTTTACGTCAGCTCTGTAACGCAATCAGAACATTCGGAAGCCCAAAGGTATTCTCCATTGCGATAAACGGTCCTGTTTCAGGACTACACACTGTGAGTGAAGCGCGACAAAGTATGCACGACAAGGTATATTCTCATGAAACACAATCACAATCGCGGTCTACTAGACATGTCACAATTGCGGTCTACTAAACATGTCCCGAACGCAATCAACATCTGATCTTACCCCCCCACTAATCTAGGCGTGGCATCTGGGCACAATACTGTGGCCACGCGACCGCAAACTCTGACGCGGGAAGGGAGGCATCGATGAAGTGGTCACGTACAAGCATCCATTTCACACGCAACTGCACCTCAGCCGGGGAACCCTTCTTCAGCTCGCTTAGGGTCAAGTCAAAACTCTTCTTCTTCGCCGCGGCCCCTTCCGATACACCCGACATGCCCACGGCTACAGACACGAGGTCGAGCTTGTCGAGCACGACCGCGAGGTTGTCCCCTTGCTCCACCCTGTGGGCGATGAGGTCCATGACTCGCTTGACATGGTTTATCGCGTTCGGGCCACCTCCAGCCTTCCCAATAAGCTCGGCCAACCGCGTAACTGCACCGCGGGGCTGGGCGATAAGCGACTCCGGACTCTCGCCGATCAGCGGGTGCGTGGACTTGTAAAGCTTCCATCCGTCCGACGGTTTTGCCGCGTTGACCCATGGGAGGACAATCGCGTCCCGAATCGTCTCTTCCCTCGTGGGCTGTGCGGGTTTCTTCCTCGTTCCCTGGTCGGTGGGAGTTGTGGTCTTTGCAGGCTCGGCCGCGGCACCAGGAGTGTCTGCTAGACTCGGATCCGCGGTAGGCCCAGAGCTGCTTACAGTGAGACGCGACAGCTGGGCCTCCAAATCATTCACGCGCTCGTCCTTCGCGGCCAGCTTTCGAGACCGATCCTCCAGCAGCCCCTCCAGCTCTTTCACCCGTTTATGAGTCGCGACCAACTCTAGGCCCAGCCTGGTGTTGTCTGCTTGTGAACGAGTTAGGTACTCAGTGAGGACGGTTACTTGGTTCTGCGCCACCAATCTGGTACTCACCTCCTGCATGGACAGAAAGCGACCGCGAACTTGTTATGGTTTGGCATTGACATTACAGCCGGAAAGATAACGAGACCATGCAGTACTTACCGCGGGCTGGGTCAGTGTGGGTGTGTTGCGCTGTACTATGGCGAGTTGATTTGCCAAGGAGACATCTGCAGCCCACGACGCAAATTCCTCCGTCTGGCAGAGCGGGTTGTTGACCACGTACGGGTGTCGCGGATGGTGAATGTAATACATCGCCAGGTCTTACGCGACCGCCATCCTAGCCTCCCCATCCAGCTCCTTCAGTATGCTTAGCCCCGCGGTGTCCTGCTTCTCCAGCTTCTGCTTTTTGACCATCTTGCAGTTGTAATCCTTGCACTGTGACAAGAAAACAACGCGGTAGTGAACGCGGTGCCAGAGGGTTGTGAGGGATTCTCGCGGTCGCATGGAACAATTATGCACGGCCCACTCATACCTATTTCTGTCCTTTGTCCGGGGCAACCCAGGGAAAAATGTGCTTCCTCAGTAGCTTCTCCAGCTCCGGGCTCACCGGCACAGTTGCGCGACCAAGGAAGTAGTCACCGTCAACCTCGGTGAAGCCTGCCTTCAGCAGCACAGCCTCCTTCGGAATGGTTGTGAGGTAGTGCTTAGTCATCACCTCGATGAAGCGCCAACCACCCAGCCTCGCCAGCTGATCCGAAGGCATTCCGTCCGCGGACGCGTGCTACGCCCCCCCAGCCCTGGTCGCGTGTACCGCACGCGAGCATGTGATTCCCGCGTCCTGGAGAATCTTTGCCGCCCAGTCGTGATGAGTCATGGGTGGTATTTGCTTTTCGATGCCCGCGCCAAGGGGGAAGAATAGGTATTGATCGTACCACGTCGAGGGTTCCATGAAGTCGAGAGGGGGGGCTATGTCTTCGTAGAGGATGGGAACCAAGTCGTACACCCAGTGCAGCCACAGCAGCATGGCTCCGAACGCGCACAGCGTCCAATCTATGTGCCTCATAGCAAATATGTAGTTGAGCAAAATGTCCTTGTTTGTCTTGCCCGTCCTGCACGCGCAGGCAAACATGAACGCGTTCCTCACTGGATCGGTCTCAGATTTTGCGCCGAGCTTCTACATCATCATGTCTAGAAGCTGCAGGTTTCTGATCGTGCACCCGTGGGCCAGAGTGTGATGACCGAGCACGGTCATCGTCCGGATGCAGAGGTCGCGATGCATTGCATGTGTGTATGCTTTCTTGGCTAGTGTGAAGCTGGTCAAGATCGCGTCCATGCTGGTCTTCCGCATCATATGCTTGAACTCGTCAGGGGTGTACGTGTCCACGGCCGTGCCCCGATGGCGATCCATGTGTTCCCTGCGGGTGGACGATAGTGCGGGTGTTAGTGGACGAGGTATTGTTGGGCATTAAACGCGTTCACTGAGTACGTATACTTACGCGATAAACCGCTTGTACTGGTCGGGTACTTGAACGCGGACCCAAATGCGACACTCCGCAAAGTCGCGCAGCGGGTTCAGAACGGGCTTCCTGAAGATGGCCCCGTCCAGCTTGATCAGCAAGTTCAAAGCATTAAGACGCCCCATCAGCATTGCCGGGGTGCACTGGCATCTCTTCTTCAAGGTCTTTTCTGGCCGCTTGAGTGTGGCCATCCTGTCCGCCTGTGCGACTGTCTCGTTCGCGAGGAAGGTCACGTATTTGCGTAAGCGCCATAGATTCGTCTCAGGGCCGTGGAGCCACTGCTCGTTGCCCTCCGCAATCTTCCAGTCACCACCCATGTTCTGTTCAAGCGCGGCCCCTATCTCGTCGGGGTTCGCGTTTCTCAACGCGGCCTCCTCACCAAACCTACCCGCGTCCAGTTTAGGCAGCTCGTGAGCCATGAACCGCTTGTACTCGTTGGCCCAACCGCGATACTTCTTCATTGTGGCCTCAGAGACACCGTAGAGGATTCTGTAGCACATCTCTCGTTTCGCGGCCGTCGTATCGTCCACAACAAGCCTGTTCCAATCCGCGATAGGGACCTCAATGTCCCTCCGCATACCCCGCACCCGTTCGTTGTCTTCCGCCTCCTCCTCGTTGAGCGCGGACAGCGAGTTTGATAGGTAGTTTTCGTCATCGTCATTCCAACTATCGTCCGCATCGTCAGCGTCGTCCTCGTCATCCTCATCGCTTGCCCCCTCGCTCCCCTCCCGGGAGCCGTTACGTGCCGTGTGCGGCACGACATCGACTTGCCGCCTCCTTATACACGGTCTATTAACTGGCCCGTTACCGGTACCGCCGTTCGCGTTAACACCGTTATCCCTGCCGCCGTTACCTGTCACCCCATGCGCTCCCTGCCCGTTTGCACTATCTCCGCTCGATCCCACATCTGTCCCACATCCCGCGCTCGCTCTCCCACCCCTTCCTCTCGCACCTCTCCCTCTAGTCGCGTTCCCTCTCTCCCCTGTCCCTCTTCCTGCATTCCCTCTCGCACCACTCCCTCTTCCCGCATTCCGTCTCGCACCAGTCCCTCTTCCCCTTCCCGTGTTTCCTCTTGCACCCGCTCCACGCCCCGCGTTCCCCGCGTTTGCCTGTGGTTGCCCACCTACACCAGTCGCGTCCGCTATAGTCGGTTGCGCGGGGGTGCGGATGTGGACGTCGGGGTTTCCGGGCAACAGTGAGTTCACGTTCCATATTGGCGGCGAATGTGCACGCGCGCTTGCATTCATCCCCGTTCCACCATTCACCGCACGCCCTAAACCACCGGCAGCCGCGTTCGATGATGGGCCGTCTGTTCGCGCCCGTGTGTCCAAACCGGCAACTAATGCTTCTCTAGTGTCTGGCGGGGCTTGCACCGCTGGCTGGCTTTCCAGATGGATCACGCTGGGGAATGGTGTTGACGGCGCGACAGGAGGCGTCGCGACTGATGCGGGTGCGTGCACCATGGGGCCAGGCCGTCGCGCAGCCCGTACAGCCCGCCCCAGGCCGTCGCGCAGCCCGTACAGCTCACGTCAGGCCCGCACCCAGCGCGTAAAGCCCGAGCCAGGCCCGCACGCAGCCCTTACAGCCCGCGTCTGGCCCGCACGCGGCCCGTGTTACTGCTACTCACTGCTGCTGCTACTGAAGCTAGTGCTGCTACAGCTAGTGCTACTGCTACAGCTCCTACTACTGCACTTGCTACAGCTAGTGCTACTGCTGCAGCTCCTACTACTGCACTTGCTACAGCTAGTGCTACTTCTGCAGCTCCTACTACTGCACTTGCTATAGCTAGTCCTACTGCTGCAGCTCCTACTACTGCACTTGCTACAGCTAGTGCTACTGCTGCAGCTCCTACTCCAGCGCTTACTCCAGCTGCTCTTGACTGAAGCTACTGCTGCTACAGCCCCTGAAGCAGCCGCCCCTGGTGCAGCCGCCCCTGGACCCAGAGCAGCCGCCCCCGGCCCCTGAAGCAGCCGCCCCTGATGCAACCGCTTTGAACGCCCTCGCGTGCCCCTAGCGTACCGGCCCCGCCCCACTAGCCCGCCCTTGCTGGCCCCGTGAGACCAGGCCCCACCCTACTCTGCACGCCCTCGCGTGCCTCCCCCCGCGCAGCCCTACCCTTGCAGCCCCACTTGCGCCCTGTCACACCCGAGCCGCGCTGCTATTCCTGCTGTCACTACTGCTCCTACTGCAACTATGGCTAGCCCTACTGTGCTCGCTTTCGATGCTGAGGGCCGCCCACTGAAATTTGACACCTTGCTCGATGACCTTCACCTTTTCCTCCAGCTCACTGCCAAGGAGGATATTTCACTGTACGATCACGCGCTAGGACACGCTGCTGGTCCTGCTGCCACTGCTGACAGCACTACCCGTTCACAGTGGCAGACTCGTGACGCCCACGCTCGCTTCTCTATTCGCAACTCTCTGCCGATAGATGAACGCGAACACTTAGGCCAGCACAAGACTGCACAGGCACTGTACACTGCTGTAGTCGCACGCTACTCCTCACCCGCCTCTGCTACGCTAGGCTGTCTCTCACTCCCCTACCTATTCCCAGACCTGTCCGCTTTCTCCACAGTCAGTGACCTCATCACGCACCTCCGCTCTAGTGAGGCTCGCTTCCGTACCGCTATGCCCGCTGAGTTTCTTGCCAAGAACCCCCCCCCGCTGTGGCTGACGCTCTACCACCTAGTCACCCGTCTCCCTGACTCCCTTCGTGCTGTTAGGGACCACTTCCTCACTCGCTGCCCCACTAAGCTGACCATTGACCTCCTCGAGAAGGAACTGCTTGCAGCTGAGGCTAGCATAGTCGCTGTAGGTACCTCTCGTGGCGACCCCCGCAACCCTTTCTTCGAGGGGTGTTCCCCTTCCCCCCTCCTCCCCTCTATCGCCTCTGCTACTGCTGTTGACCTCCTAGGTACTGAGCAGGTCGGGACTGCGTCCACTCTGAGTGGACGCCGCAGCGGCAAGGGCAAAGGGGGCAAGGGAAGTGGTGGTGACGGCGGGGGAGGCGGTGATGGGGGTGGTGGCGGGGGTGGGGGTGGTGGCGGGGCTGGAGGGGCTAGTGGCAGCAGTGGGGGTGGTGGCGGCAGTGGGGGTGGTGGCGGCAGTGGGGGTGGTGGCGGCAACGGCGGAGGAGGTGGCCGGGGTGGGGGCGGTGGTGGTGGCGGCGGTGGCCGAGATGGAGGCAGGGGTGGTGGTGGTCGAGGCGGTGGTCGCGGTGGTGGTTAGCGCCAGCAGCAGACTCTATCCCCCCAGGAGCTTCGTGAGTGGTACTCTCAGCATGGGGGGGGGGGGGGGGGGGGGGGGGGGGGGGGGGGGGGGGGGGGGGGGGGGGGGGGTGGCCTTAGCTGCATGTACGTCATTCGCACAGGTGACCACACTGGTCAGACGTGTGGGAGGGCTCACACCTCGCAGTGCTGCTTCTCTCGCCTTGACGATGCCTGGCGCACCCAGTTTCCTGGTGCCACTGAGCTGCCCCGCTGGGCTGATCTGATGAGGAAGAACATTGATGTCTATGCTCTTCACTTTGATGCTATTCTTGGTGCCATGTATGTGATGTCTGATAGTGGAGAGAGTGCTCAGTACCTGCGTGTTCCGCCCGATCCGGGCATTAGGACCAGTGAGGCTGCCGCTCTAGGTGCTAGTGAGCCTACCGCTCCAGGTGCTCGCGTGTCTGCTGCCCCAGGTGCTGGTGAGGCTGCTGCTCTAGGTACTCGTGAGTCTCCCCCCCCTGGTACTGAGTCTACTGAGGCACTGCACACCTTCACAATGGACTCCGGTGCTTCCCGCTGTTTCTTTCGTGACCGCACGGCCCTTGAGCAGCTTGCTCGGCCGGTTGCAATCTCCCTCACTGACCCCTCTGGGGGTCCGGTCATTGCGACCTCCTCCACTGTCCTCCACTGTCTTGCGGTCCCGTCGGGCACACTGTCAGGTCTCTACCTCCCCTCGTTCTCTACGAACTTGGTGGTGGGTCGTGCGCTCCAGGACGGGGGTGTCCATCAGTTCACCCCTGCCTACGAGCGCGTGACACACTGCACGTGCGCTCGGATGGGTCGCCACCTGGCTACCTTCACTCGGCAGCCAGGGTCGGACTTGTACACACTGACCACTGAGTCCCCTCAGGTAGCTGCGTCTGCGTCCGCGTCAGGTCAGCTGTCGGCCCCCTGCTCGTGTTGCTCCTAGTCGCACGTGACCGTCCTCTGGCACCACCCCCTTGGTCACCCGTCCGTGCAGCGCATTTGTGGCA